CTTTAATTATTTTTTAAAAACGGATGAATAGAAACTGATTAGTTTATAGTTAAAAATATTTTTATATCCTAGTAAACATTTTAACAAATTGGAAAAGGTGACATTGTGAATATTAACATTAAATAAAACGATTGTAGTAAAGGGTAATCAAGTGAATGTATTTTACATTTTTACTTGGCATTTTAAAATGTAAAATGTTTACTAAGATATAAAAAATATTTCAACCTAGAAACTAATCAGTTGTAACAACCATATCATATAGATTTTAAGTCAAAATAAAGTTTAAGTTGTGCACATTAGACTTAAACATAGACAATAAACTTAGGGGCATACGACATGTAATTCGAACATTTTTTTTTACATGCAATTCGGATGCAGCCATTTATAAAAAATATGACAGAAGTGAAAAAATAAACATTGTTTTTAACAATTAAAACGAATTTAGTATTAAAAACTACGCCACACATACGCTGGAAACTGTGTTGTAAACAATGTGAAAAGCAGGCTAACGTAGGAGCAGTACTGCATGCCCTATCCAGTTACTCAATTTAGGCTTGTCAGTTCAAACCAGTAGATTATAAAAACCTGTGCTTGCGCTACGCTGTGTGCGGCGCGCCGTCTGCGTCGCAATTTGCGCCCGATCTAAAAGTGGTATTTGGATTATATAAGTATGAAAATGTACAATCTAACCCTCCTTCAAAAAGTAACCTACATATATTATAAACTAAATTACCCAAACTTAAATTATAGCAATCAAAAAATGCTCATTAAAAATTAATATTATACACCTGTAATTATAAAAAAAGCTTTTAATTTCAAACAATTTTAAATACGCGTTATATTATATTTTCAGGAATAATATGTATTGAATGAAGTATGTATCTTTTTAATTTTTTAAATATGTTTTTTGTAAAAAAATTTTGAAATAAAATATGTTCTTTAATATTTTAATTAAAAGTTTTACATTTTAATATAAGAAATTTCTAAGTTACATGTTACATTAGGCACCTAATTAATTACTATAATAATTACTACTATTTATCTTATATGAGATGATTTATGTTTATATTAATTATGTGTATTTTACTTTATGCGTTGACCTTCGTTGGGAATGGAATTTTGAATACATTAATACTTTTATTTTTTATTAGATATACAAATAATAAAATAAACATATTTCATACCAAAATACTAAGAATAAGATAATGATTGACAATTACGTAAAATTACAAACATTTTTAAAAGTTGGAATCGTTAAAAAAAAATGCTAAGGAAAAGAAAAAAATAGTTGCAAAATATATAATTTATTAATTATTTATTTGATTGACCTTCTAGCAGAATAGTTTTTTTTTATACAAAAACAATGGCCGACGATTCATCAATATATTTAAATATTATTACAATCAGTATGATGAATATACAAATAAAATGACTATTCATGCAAAGAACAACTAATACAAGGTTCAAAATATGATTCACATTGACCAAAATCCTCCTCTGCAGTGGCATAATTGTGGAGAACATCAAGAGAGAACTTGGTCTTTGGCATCTTATTGAAGATAAGAACTAGAAGATACATATAATTTCACACATAGATGATAATAAGTAGTTAGTAGTTAGATAACCAATAAATAATATCTCCAGATTTTAAAAATTCATAACTAATTTAATTTAAAATCATTTTAATATAAATTGAAATTACAAAACCAGTAACGTATTTACAGGACTCCTCTCTAACCTTCTTTCCTTGAACTGAAATAAAAATTTACAATATACCAAAAATAAAGTAATAATATTTATACACTTTTGTAGGACTTCATTGTTTTCAGAAAAAAATGAGAATACGCCACTGGACAAAGCATATACATTGACTATTTTTTAATGACAAAACTAAGACTAACATCCTGTTCTTAACACTTTTTTTATCACTCAGGCAGTTTCAGTAACAGGGTATTACCTAAAATTGTTACATACAGTTGTTATTGACCTCTACTTAGATTTCATCGTTATTAAGAAATCAAACTGCTTTTTGAATAAATCATTTGTAAGATAAAAAAAAAAATGAAAGGTAAGAGTTGCTTGGAGCTAAATTTAGACTGAATGATGAAAATAACTGTACAATGTTTCAACCAAAATAATTGCTGCGGTCGACACATAAACAATGAAGGCATATTAAAAAAAAAAATAATGAAAATAATAGGGGCTGGAACCGAACCCAAAAGAATCGGTTTTGGAACCCAAGAACCCTTAAAATATTGAGAACCGGGATCGAACCGGAACCGAATTTTTACATACTGAAAGAACCATAATCAAACCGGAACCCTCATTATAAAATGAAAAATGTCGAATTTAACAAACATTATTAATTATATTTTTATTGTTAAAATTTCAAAGCACAAATAAATTTCTGAGATATAATTTTTTAAAAATTTTATTATTAATATTATGTGCTGACATACGGATGACTAAAAACTTAACCGGTTAATACTCCAATTTTACCAATACGAGGGCTATTTCAGTGGTGAATAAGGCAACATGTCCTATTATGTATAGTTAAAACTTAATTTACCTAATTTATACATATTACTGTTCTTCAATATGTACAAACTGTTTTTGGCCAAATAAATTATTATTATTATTTATCAGTGTATTTTTTAACTAAGCGATACAAATGTCGCCCAGTGATTATATTCTGTCGATAGTATTTTGAAAGATTGGGCGAAATTATGCGAAGCGAACGTGAAATATCATCATATACATATATCGCACTATCATCATACTGTGGTATTATACGTTGAGTGCTTTGAGTTTTAACATTTTTTTGTTGCTCAGTGAAAATCTCTTAAAAAATTTACTGTTATTTATTATTATAGATATAAATTTGAATCACAACATAAGTTCAAAAATGAAATTTTATTTTGTATATTTTTTCATATTATTAAATACTATTTTTATTATATAATTTATATAAATAAATATATATATATATATAATATAAAATAGTTGAATAGTGACATTTGGAGAAATTTATTTTCATATATTTTATGTTATATTGCCTAGTTTAATGCCATAATACCGCTAACATGATAAATAATATGTAATTTTTAAGTATCTCAAAAAATGTTACGGAATAAATTTAAAAAAATTTTATTTAGAACTTTATAACACCGGAACTCGAACCCGAACCTTTTAATAAAATAATTGAGAACCGGAACCGGAACCGTAAAAACTAAAAAAAGGTAAAATAATAATTAAAATAATCCCTTGAAAATAATAACGACTAATATTGAAAAACGGCATGGCGTAGAACATTAAGCAAATTTAAGGTAAAGGCAAAATAAAAAAAAAGACAGCAAATTGAGTCAATAATTCGCATAAGAATAAAATAATGATAATAATTATTATGACAGTCGTTCGTAAATATAAATTTTATCATAATCAACATAAAAGCACGTTGTCAACTATAAGCAAGAGTGTTGGTGTCGTAATATTTAGTAACAGAAGAAGAAACCAGTTTTAGTCTTAAGAATAGTCGCGATCATATTCAAATTTTTGGCTGTAAGCTACATTAATGTCACGTTCTGCGAGACAAAGGTTGATTAACCTTTTAATTATGATTACGATTAATAACATCAAAATTAATTGCGGCACTAGATCTTTTTATAGGAGGAGGACGAACTTCATACATATATTCACATTTATGTATTTTCCTAGTGTGATATAAATAATAAATAACAAAAATTAGGGAGTGTCTGCCCTATTAGCCCCCCTTGAGAACGGATCTGATCAAAACTATATTTATTTTGGTAGCATAAATAACATGACCATCAAAAATATTTTTTCGTAGTTAATTTTTTAAATTTATTACTTATTTATCAAAAATAAATGTTACCGATAATTCAATAATTTTTGGTCATTAGTTTATTGTTATAAAATAATATAATTTAATATTTTAATCGTTTAACTATTAAGGTTATTATTTACAGTACTTAAAAAATATCTTCATTTATAAGCGGTATTAGAGGAGGGGAAGGCACGAGGAAACAGTTGCCATCCCAGAAAAAATATTTAGAGGGCAAACTTATAATTTTTCCCCTCTCTTAATTTAAATATTTAAACAATTTTTAATTTTTATAAAATATTTATGTTAAAATTATGTTTGTACAATTAATTATAAATTAAAGTATAATTACAATTATATAATAATTTATTCCCTATGTTAAGTCAGATCAATACTATCAATATTACTATTAATTAATATAAACTAATGTACATTGATTAAATAAACTATATAGTATTAATGCTTTAATCAATACTTTTAAAACATAACATATTACATTGATATTAATTTATGTATTTATCGCCTTATCGGTTATCATACACACATACACATAGTAAGTAAAAATGTGTAATATATAATTAAGTTGAATGTGAGAAGATTTTAAAATCGGTCAGTAAATTGTGATTAATCCCCCCCCCTCTGAAAATAAGATCCAAGTGCCGCCTATGTCTTCAACTCAAAAAAATAGTTATGATTATACAAAAACATAATAGAAATTTAACTTGTTTTGTCTTTAGTTTTTAATAGTACTTTCTAGTAATCAGACTGTTGTGGCATTGAATTATTGATTTTTTATATTATTTTAAGAAACATGTGATTATAGTTAAGTTAATTAAAAAAAAAATTCACACATAAAAAATTTCTATTCTAAAAATAGAGTATGGTCAGTATAATATTATTTATTTAATTAAAAAATATTCCCCGTTATAAGCCAACTATAAATTATTAATGATAGCTACTTATTTAACTCTTGAAGCTAAAATAAAGTGATAAATAAAGGTTATCATTTATTTCGGTAATTTTTTTGTTTTAATCGATTATAATTTATGTTAAATTGAGATTAAAATGAATTGTAAATATATTACGTAACATTCTAACATGAGAATTTATAATTATTCCTCTCTTAAAAGAATTTCCGAAAACATGTTTCCAGATGTGAACGAGTAGTGGAGGTAAAATAAACTGTTCGCGTTGCCATCAAAACTCATAGACACAACGCGGAGGTACGTCCTACTATTAACATCTCATATTGATATCAACCGGCGTTCGTTAACCTCTTAATGTTTTATTATAGCTTATTAAGAATAGTGCGGTAAAAGTTTTAAATTCGTGCAAATAGTGTATTTGTATACGTGTATGTTTTTCTATTTGGTTTGAATCGATTTTTTTTAATTCGGTTGTATGGCTTTTGGAAGAAAAAACGAAGAATCTATTGGATTATTAAAAGGATCTTCCATCAAACAAGATGAGAAAACTAAATCTCACACAAAATACGGGTAATTTATTACTAATTGAAACGAATTTGACTCATACGTTATAAATAATACATATCGAATACTAAATTTAGTCGCCGTATAAGCTAAAGAATGATTAAATGATTAAATTAATTTTTCTGTGTTTTAATCAATTAATGAATTGAGAATATAAGAAAACAACAATTTATATATTTTATATATTTAAGTACGTATTTAGTGCCTATGCTTTAGTAAAGTTGCTGAATATTTTTAATTTTTTTCAAAATTAAAATCCGTCAAACCTTTAAGCTCCACCGTTTTGTCTAGCTTGTTTTAGATTGTCATTATTTGTAAGGTATGCAGCCCTCTTAATAGTATTGTTAATACTATTATTTTTGTATGTAAATACGTTGTTTCAATATTTTCAATGGGTACTTCATTTGCCTGAATGAACGACATTACAGGCATTTAAAAGAGGCGGTATTTTTTAATAAACTATGAAATAATACAGAATTCGATAAATTTCAAATCTAAAAAATATTTATTTCACAATTTAACTCAAACACATTTTCCATCGATTCGTTTAAGAATACAAACCCCTAATTATTTTCTAGTTATTTTTAGTAGATATATAATAATCAGTGGCATCTTTAGAATTTAATTTTCAGAGGAGGGATATATTTACTTAACAAACCCATTTGTAATGATTTATATCCTCATATTTACACATCACAACAGTTATAATATCGGGATATATTTTTATTTATATTCTTAATTACCATTTAGGTAATTTTTTTATTTATTTAAATTAATTAGTTATTGCAAAAATTATGCCTCAAAAAACTGGTCGTGATTGGAGAAATACGAAACGCAATGCTCTCCTTCACAATTCATACACAACTGAAATCATGCCCCTGTAAATAATAATTGATTTCATATTCTCAGAATACTCAAAATAACAGTTTAGATTTTTCTGCTGTGTCTTTTTGAATTCAAAGGTAGGTACACAAACAAACATTTTCTTTGGAGAAAAGAAAAATACAATTTTAAAATGCGGTTGACTCTATATAGTGCCATGGTATTTTGTTTTGTATTCAAATTTGATCTTTTTTTTCCACTTTAACCGAGATACATGGAAGGATTTGTTTAGTAAAATGTGATCTATTTTCTAACATATGTTAGAAAATAAAATAATAATAATAAAATTAAAATCGCTATAACACTAACGTAATTTTATCTATTCTTGAATCGTTTATTTAAAGAGATTAATTTATAAATAGATAAAAATTTCAAAAGTATGAATAAAAATATATAAAATAGTCCGGATGAGTTTTCACTGATGTTCATGGTGTGTGTTTGAAAAATAAATATATTATTTTGTTAATATAATTATGATTAGAGAATTTTATTTAAAAATTCTTAATATTTTCAAATGTCATCCTCATCTACACAATTTATGAATAGATAAGAAGTATTCTAAATTATTATTAGTCTAAATTCCAATTAAAATTAACTTAACTTACTGATTAATGATTATATAATAGTTAAGCATTTATAAGCTCATAATTCTACTTTATAAAATTAAGCAGATTTATAATTTGGAGTGTATATTTACATAAAAAAATATTTTTGGTTTCTGTTATTGGATATTATATTTCAAGTTGAATATTTTATAAGATCCGTTTTAGAAATTAATAAAAATAGACGGTGGGGTTTTAGAATTTAATATTTCTGCTTAACTGTCCCTTATAACTGATGATTTAAATAATATGTATTAAAATGTAATGTGGAAACGGGTTAGTTATAATTATAATTACTAACAAAGCTTCATTTCAAAAATGTAGAATGTATAATGTAATTAAGTACATACTCGTAATTCAGTTGCTTCTAATTTTCATCTTGATATTTGTTGTGTTTATAAATGAGGTTATTTTTAAAATCATTTATTGCGATAAAAATTATGTAATAAATGTTTGATCATGGAATTATGGAAGATAGCTTACATAACCTTTTAAAGTTATAAGATGATTTCTATATTTTTCATAGTGATTAGATAAATATAACAACTAAATTTTACATTTAATATCAACAATTAACAAATACATACATCAGTTATTACTGTAACTAGTGTTATCTTACATCATCGTTTAGAATTAAAACATTAAAACTGTAATTTTAAAATTTAATTATTTATAGTACTCATTATTAATTGTTGAAAAATTGTTAAAATTTTGGAAAGTTTTAAATACTTTTAACTACATATAATGAGATTGTTAGAAAAATTTAGATTTTAACCTTGAATTTACAAATAAAGTTTTTTTTTAATTTAACAAGTCTGGAGTAGGTACATTGTATTTTTTCACTTATGTCATACCATCGATCAGCGACCGATTATACTTAAATTGTAAATGTTACAATTTATGTATAATAAATATAAATGTACTAATTCAGTACTTTCCCAAGACCTTTTTATAGGGGAAAGGGTGAACTTTATGCATGTATTCACATTTATGTATTTTCTTAGTGTGTTATAAATAATAAATAACAAACAATTTGAAGAAAAAAAGGTCATGGGGCACAACTTCCCTATTTGCTCCTTCTTGTGGACGCCCCTGCCCTAATGCCTAACCTAAAAAATATATGGGACTATTCTCCACCATCTTGGTTTCTAAATTTACTTGTAATATGATGAAAATAATATTATACTATCTACGTATTAGATATGTAAATATTTGGCAATTTTTAAGTAATCATTATAATAAGTATCTGAATTTTAAATTAAAACCATTGTGCGAGTACAATAAAATATACATAAAATTTACTTTCTATAAAAGTGTCCATAGTTGAAAAAAATAGCACCACTCTTGAAAAGTTCACTCAACTGCACCAAAATTGAACCTTCTGTTCGCCAATGCCATCAATTAAATATAGCAATAATATATTAATATAGTAATATAATAATATATTTAAGGTATTTTTATTTTTAATGTTTTCAGCATTGTATTTAAACATTCATATTTAAATTTGTTTCAGAACTGTACGAAAAAATGAAGTCAAAAAATCTTCCATTGGTAGTCTGGTAATTTTTTAATATTTAAAATATGTACTTTCCATTGTATCTGCTACAATTATTAACCAATTTACATTAAACGAAAAAAAAAAATTACTAACCAAAAAAAAAGTACATTTCAACAACAATAATTATACATTCTGTATTGTAGTTTAAGTAGTACACAATGCTAAAAAAAGGTTCTTAAAATTATTATAAATATTAATGTATAGTGATCAGTAAGAAACATTTTATTTTAAGAAATCTAGGTTGGTGCTAATGGCGATACCAGCGGACATGAAATTCAAATATTTTTAAAATACCATTGCCAATATACAAGGCCGGATTAAGAGGGGGGGGGGTTTAGCCGGGGTGGTAGCTCCGGGGCCCAAATAATTTTAAGCCGATACATGTATTTTTATCTTACTAAAATTAGTAGTTTTATGGACACACATTTTACATACCTATTAATTTTATAATGCAATTGACAATTTGTGAAATAATTAAAAAAAATGTATTGCTCTGCGAGCGTAGCGAGCGACTTTGTAAAGCATGTTTTGTCAAAAGAGCCCATATAAAATTTCAGCCCTGGGACCTAATAGGTGTTTAATCCGGCCTTGCCAATATAGGTTACAGCCATACATTTTCACAGAACTTAAAGATAGTTTGTTACATAAAAATATGATAGATTAAAACATTGCTTTATTTCAAATAAACGTTACTTCTACATTTGTTTGAAATCAAACATCTTATTTTAAATAAATATGTGTATGAAGTATTTTCAAACTTGTCCGTACGCCACCCACTGTATCCACTGTTTTTTACCTAACTCTAACCATCACGATCAGCATCTTTAAATATATCCACCAATCCGACAGAGTAGACGAAGAACAGGTTTTACTAAAATGGTTTAGACGTACAGAGTGGTTCTCTCAACAGTTAAGTGGTTACTGAAGAAAATTTTCAACGAAGATCTTCTTTCTTTTATTGCGTAAACTTTGAATTTTTCAATGGTTAGCCTGTAGACATTTTTTCTCAAAACTTACATGAATAATTTTAAAAAACATTGTGTTCAGAGAAGAGTAATTTATTAAAATAGTGAATTTTATTTATATCTCTTTTGGCTCTTATAGTCTTATTCCAATTCTGAATACTTATTATAAATAATTAAATTGGTAATAAAACAATTTGCAAATATTCGATATACGAGATACTGAATGATAGATAGATATGATAGATACTGGATGTGTATTAAAACAGTTTAAAAAACAAATAGGTACATAATTATAATTATAATTATAATTTAAAATTACACAAATAACTAACAAGTCTCTCAGGGAATGATTAGTTATGAAAATTATATCAGAATCCTCGTTGGTTCAATTACGGTTACAAATAATAATAAATAGTATAAAAAATAAATTTTAGATTATATTATTATATTATAAATAATATAATTAAATTAGTGTTTGTATTTTTTCTGAATCGCTCTGTACAGTATACACTAGGAATACATGCAGACATATGATTATATAACTACGACCGCAACGGATATTTCAAAATTAATGTGTTTTCCTTGACCTCCCTTATTATAGTCGCAACGTCTTAAGAACGGGCCACACTATTGGCTGCTACTCGCCAGTTTTACTAGCAAACAGCAGCTGATAATGCGGTCACATGGTTTCTTGCTATTCAATAGCTTGGTATTCTACATTCAGCAAACATGTAGTCTGTGGTTCCATGTAAAAAATAACTAGTTAAACGATTGTCAAGGAAGATAAATATATCTATAATACTAATATATTTATATTTATTTTATAGCTAACTAGCTATATTTTCTTTTATTAGTATGTATATTATTAGAGTTTAGGACTTATTGCACACAAATTGTGTGAATGAAATATGCTTGTACATATGCACTTAAAATAACTGAAATATAAGCAAAAATAATCAAATTAATGTTTTTATAATAGAAATTATTTTATTTATTTTATTTTTTTATTGTAAAATTATTAAATTTTTTTACTTAGAAAATTTTTGGCAATAATAACTTTTTAAGTCAAAAACCATAATATTACTCTGTATAATCCATTTCATTTCATTCATTGTCTTCTCCTACAATTAAAAAAAGGTTTAGAAATATAAAAATGTAAAAAAATGACATGTTTATCTATAAAGTTGGATTAGACATTTTTTTTTTAAATTACCTATCAAATTTAAATGCACGGCATTAATTGGTCAACATATTTGTATTAATTAAAAACCAATGTTCCACATTTTCTGATGTTATTGGCACATATTTAAAATATACCAAGTCATTTAATTTTAAATCTTCAGGTAATCCTTGGAAACTTTCTTGGACTCCAAACAAAATTTTGGAAATTCTAACCCTTCTTTTTCTCCAACAGTTTCAATTTTTGTTTTTACCGTTTTTCCTTGTACGCCATAACGGCGTCAACAAAAGTTTTGAAATTTTTTAATGCCTATACTAGTTTTTAAGAAAAATTATTAATTTATTATTGAAAAATATTAATAAAAATTATATAATATTATAATATTATATATATATATTATAATTATAATAGTTATTTTATATTATGTTAAACCGCTGAGTTTTTTCGTCTGTGGGCGTTTAACATATTAAGGGTAAAACCATATTACTATTATTTAGCACTCGGACCTATGCATTTTTATTTTCGTTACATTGACATCAAATTGTGTTCGTTGCATTTCTTATATATCTCTGTGTGTATTATAATTTATAACCATCAGATTATTAAATTTGATATTAATAGTTTCAAATAATTTATTTACACACTACCAAGCAATTGTTTTTGTTATCTCTCTCTCTCTCTCTCTCTCTCTTTCTCGTCTCGTGGTCATAGTTGTCGTCGTTGCCGAGTTCGATTCACGAATCACGATTGACTGAAAAATAAACGTGCCCAATATTTTATTTTCAATCAATATGAGTGAAAAGTGCATACAAATGCATATATAGAAATAAATGAGTTGTTTGGGTTTATTTTTATATGAAGAAGGAATGGACGATAACATTTTACGAGAAAAATCAAAGCAATTAGTAAATATTTATAGTGTTTATAACGGAAACTTGAGAATGAGATTATACAATGAATAATAATGAAGTATTTTTCAGGAGATTAAAAATTATGTATGCACTGTTTTCTTCAATATTAACAGTATCGAAGTTAATCAATTCATTGCCTATTGTGGAAATAGCTTTAAAACTTTTTATATTTATACCATGTTTAAACTCTAGCGGAGAGAGATCCTTCTCAGTTTTAAAAAGAGTCAAAAACTACCAGAAACATAATTATCTAATGAAAATATATCATAGTTATCTCTTATATCTATAGTAAATATTTTCCTTAAAAGTATAGGTTGGAATGATATTATTAAAGAGTTTGCTGCACAGATAGCTAAAAAATAGTTGTAAATAATTTATATTGAAAAAATTTGTATTAAAATATTTATATTTAGTAACTACTAAAGTCTGTAAATTTAAAAACTACCGGTGTTACTATATGTTTATAAATATAAATTAATTAAACAATCTTAACAATGTTATTACTTGTTGTATACATAGTTATATATATACATGTACTATACATATATATACATATATATTTTGATTTGTGAAGGAGGTTGAAGGGTGAAATTTTAAAATCTGCCTCCATGCGGCAAATTTGTTAATCCGGCACTGTTTACAATAAATCCTTGCAATATTTTTATGTTTCCTTATAATTTCCTTACATTAAGAACACTATTTTATACAATTTTAAAAAGGCCTATGAAGGGGGGATCTGACTACAGATATAAATTATGAATACCCGGCCTTACCGTGGTTTAAATTGTTAAATTTATTAGCTGTTTGAGTATTGTTGTTTTTTTATGTTTTAAAAAAATCTGGCCGAGAAATAACGTTTGAGATTTTTAACACCTATAACCTTAAAAATTTAGGAAAATGAGTTACTGATTATGTACGCTTTACCCATGTGCAATTTTTTTAGTGTTAACCTATAAACTTAAAAGATATATAATAAAAAAATAATAATTTATGACAACAATTTTATTATAAAACCTGTATTTACTGTTGGTGCAAAAATAACTAAACCTATGGGTGTACTGACTCTGGAGCAGTCACATAAAATTGTCCATGTGAAAAATAATCTTATATAATAATCTCTTATATCGATCCCTGCAATTTTCAATCTTTGACCTTGAATTTTATTTATTATCATACCAAAACATACTTTGATAAAATACTGCATTCTCTTGAATTGGAATGGGTAATTTGATGATACCATTAATATTTAAGGAATAAAACGGATTCATATTTTGCAAACCCAGTTATAATATCAGCTTCCATTAGATTTTTTTAAAAACTAGTAGTACATAAACGTACTCTTATACATTATTTTGGTGAGCTAAGATTTCTTAGAATAATTACAGGAGTACTAATTTTGAATGTTAATAAATGTGGTGGAAATTCAGAAAAGTTGAGCGAATTGAGAAATTCAACTGGATAATTAACTGCATCATCTATTACAGTGCCTACTGAATTCACTGATCTGTATTTCATATTTTTTGCTTGGAAAGAGTCCAATAGTATTTTGTTTATTTACCTAACCTGCTGTATTATTTTTTTATGTCAAAATGGCCCTCTCGCATAACCAGTCAATTAATATTTCTTTAAGATATTCGATGCCAAGATATATTTTTTCTGTAAGTTCTTTTAAAGTTTATACAACTCTACTTAATCCTGTCGGTATAGTAATTTTTTCTTCACATTGTGGATATTATCCATCTCTTTTTTTTAAGAGTAGCTCAGAAAACTGCTCAGCAATCCTATTTCCTTTTAAATGTACTCACATATTTTTGGTTAAAGAAAAAAATTTCTATTTGAGGCTACAAATATGAAGACTTGATGCATACTGCAATTTTATTAACTTGAATTCTTCTAAGTACGACTGATAGAATTTGTTGAAAGTTTCAAACTAACAGTACTGTGATTCCTCCCATAAATAAATTTGAATTCTTCAGATCCTTCAGACAGTTGTATAAAGCCTCAAATAATTTCTTGCATATAAAAAATTATTTGAGGTTTTATACATCTTATAAGACATTGGACTTTTATCCAAAACAATGATCTTGCATTTTTTCAGAACTTTCGCCATATTAGATTGTTTATTAATATTTTACGTTGGAGTATCGATGGTAGATATTAAGATTGAGTAGTAACTTGAAAGTAGAATGAACTTCTGCATATAAAAGTGTAGCAGCAAATCCTGATGATGCAAGTGCAATTGCAAATTATTAATTTTTATATAATTATTAAGTGATTTCCATCTAGATTCAAAACAAAGTTGACAACTGACTGCTATTATTATTAATAAAAATTTATTTTTGTCGATTTCAACCCCTTAAATTCTAAATTTTGAAAAATCCTTTCTTAGTGCACGGTGAAATTATAATATTAATGTATACTAAAAATGTCAAGTCGGTAACTAATAGATTCTTAATTTAAAGCAGTGGTGGAGCGTATACGCGAGTACACGGTATATAACGACTTCTCCGTTTTTTAGTTGATGCAAATACTTATTGAATAATTTGTGATACGCAGGACAAGCAGGTTAGGCAGGTTTACGGGTATACTAGCTATAATAAAAACTTTAGTGCTTTAAACTATATTAACAAATTTTGACATTTTATATATACAAAAATCAAAAATACCAAACATATTTTGTAGCTATCATTTTTATTAGGAATGGTTATTATTTTTACATTTTACTATTTTTAATTTTATTGCAGAAAAATATAGTGTAAAAAGCCGTTACACTGCCAACAATAATGACGCTACAATAGTTTTAAATTGCATTTTATTTATTTAAAATAATTTGGATCTTTATGTTGTTAGTTAATATTAATCATTATGATCGAAAAAATGGGGAATGAGTAGAAATCAGGGGCGGCTCCAGGGGGAGGGGGCTAAGGACCGCCCCACAAGTCTGTACCATATTTATAAAAAAATATATATTGTTAACAAAAAATGCATATTATAATATGGACTATTATACGACACGCACAAGTATGTAGATAAAGCCATAGGCGTGCGCAGACTTTGTCCTTAGGGGGCCAAAGATTCTTGTACTAAAGACTACTAGTATAATTAAATATTTACATTTTATAAATTATTTATTTAATTCAATATGCAAATATAAAAATAAATACTATTTATACTTACACAATTTATGTCTAAGAAATCCTTAGTTACATATTATTATACTATTTACAACTCCATCCTTCTGTCCACGGGAATAAGGTTTTTGAATGCATCAATTACATCTTTAATTTTTATATTATATGCAAGTTCTGATTAGTCTGATTAATAACTAATAACTTTATTACATTTATTCACAGATATCAATTTTATACTATAAGATTAAAACTGGCTTTACTTTATTCATGTAAAAATGTTCGCTATAATATAGATATACATTTATTAAAGAAAAAGTCAGAGTTCGCAAGGGGGGCCGTGTCCACCCGGCCACCACGTGTGCACGTCTATGAATAAAGCCATAAAGGTATGACGGTGTAATACACCTATACACCGAGTGTATACGATGTACCTACTATCTATAATATGAAGAACTAATAAGGCTATAAATAAACTATATCTATTAATATAAAATATACTATGGTATGATACTATGATATTATTATTTTATAATCGAAACATGAATTGCGTAGTACACATTTCTGTACGGAATAAATTGTTGAATTCTTTTTGTTATAAGATTTTGTAAAATTATAACTTGCCTAACTAGGGGGGGGGGCTAACCAAGGCTCTGGAGCCGCTCCTGGTAGACATTTACTCCATTCACCCTTTTTACATATAATTAACATACACTCAAGACTTTTGTTAGGACTACATTATTGATTTTAAATATATTTCAATTTTAAAGTACCTATTTTAGAAATAATGAGTAGCATATCTTGCTTTATTTTTATTAATTCATTATATAAAATTAATTGACTTCGTACTTATTATAACTAAAATATCTCTAGTATTTTTAATATGATGTTTTCAAAATCATAGAATAGAGTTTTTAATTTTAATTTATATATACACATAAGTATATATTGATATACAATATACAATGTAATGTTAAATATTAAATTATTTTTACTGTTGAATAAAAATTAAAATAGAAAAGAAAACTATACATGTAAATTTCTGTATTTCACCAAAGAATATCTCTAATATTAACTATTAATGATAATAATTTGAAATTTTCTAGTTTCGATATGCAAGCAAAGGTGATGTGGCACTTATGTGCATTGGTATTATATGCTCTGCTCTACATGGATCAAGTTTTCCAGTGTTGGCATTGGTATTTGGTCAAATGACCAATACTTTCATCAAACAAGCATCAGTAAGTATATTAATTCAGTGTAGTAAAAATTAAATAATGAATAATTTAATAGTATAATTAGTATATTATTATGGTTGTACATTTTATTTTACCTACTTATATACAACTAAACAGTTATATTTGTGTTACTTCAGCGTTTAAGGATGTAAGGGTGTAAAAATATTATATAAATTCTACTTTTCTTGTACAAAAAAACCAATATCTTCCTTATTATATGTCTATCTATGATGTCTAATATATTATAACAAATTTCAAAAAATTTGACAATTTAATTCATATTTATTATTTTTATTAATACTTACAGGTTTCTTCAAGCGGGTCATCAACTTTAGTGTCTTCTACTTATAATATTCCCGAATTATTAACTCAGAATGACTCACAGGTTAATATTCCACTAACAACTGTTGGGGACGCATCAGACCTCGTTCATAGTAATCCATTTAATTCGCCATCTAGTTATGTAGACATTCTAAGCTCAACTAATGCAATAACTCAATCACCTTTAAACGGTGAAAGTTCTACTCTTGGAGCATTTTTTATGTCAGAAATGGAAAGACTTAGCACAGTTAAATCTATTACAGGATTAAATTTTGAGTAGGTCATGAAGGAAAATCTGATTAAATATGTATTTAAATTGTTTTATAATTATAGACATACAACAATGAGTCTTAATAAAACAAGTGGATCTTCCAGCGATAGTGCATTAAGCCCTGAAGAATTTTATGATTACATGACAACATTTTCATTATATTACTTATACATTGGATTAGGAGTATTAGTTGCTGCATTCATTCAAGTACAGTTTTTAAAGTATAGTTGAAATCTCAGATGAAGCTAGTTATTTTGTTTTCAGACTTTGTGTTGGGAAATTGCTTGTGAAAGACAAGTTCACCGGTTGCGAAAAATCTTCTATCGCCAAATACTTAGACAAGAAATTAGTTGGTATGACTTAAGTGATGATGGAGATTTAACAACAAAACTATCAGAGTATGAATTTATTTAAAAATGTATATTAATTAATATATTACTAAGAAAATATCTACTATGTATTTTACTTCATTAGTGACTTGGAAAGAGTTCGTGAGGGAATCGGTAGTAAATTTAGTATGGTTACACAATACTCGAGTACTTTTTTTACTGGTCTTATAATTGGATTTTGTGTCAATTGGAGATTGACTTTAATTATAATTTGTGTTGCACCATTTTTAATTGCTGTTTCTGGAGCCCTCGCTATAGTAAAGTATTATGTTAAAAATCATTTGTAGTAATTAATCTTGTTTTATTTTAGATTTCATCAGGTACAGCAGCTAGAGAACAAGCTAAATATGCTTTAGCCGGAGCCATAGCTGAAGAAGTTTTATCAAATATTCGGACAATAGCAGCATTTGGAGGAGAACTTAGGGAATCTAAAAGGTAATTTGTTTAAATTGGTAAAAACTTATATTATTCTTACAAAATGTAACTATAAACTAATTTTTTAGATATGAGCTAGCTATTGAAGAAGGTCGAAAATTAGCCATGAAAAAATACTTTATATTTGCAATATTATTGGGTTCTGTATTTGTAATAATGTATACAGCATATGGCATAGCATTCTGGTATGGTTCAAACTTAATTGTTGAAGGAATTTCAACACCTGGAAGCATATTTACAGTAAATTCTTATTATAATTATGAAAAAACATTTGTTATTATTTTAATTGATGTACATAGGTTTTCTTCAGTGTAATGGCTGGAGCATTTTCTGTGGGCAATGCTTTGCCATTTATAAACTCAGTAAGCATAGCTATTGGTGCTGCATCAACTATATTCAATATAATCGATAGCAAACCTAATATCGATCCTTATTCGTCTAAAGGTAAAAAGATTAATAAAATTCAAGGAAAAGTTGAATTTAAAGATGTAAGCTTTACTTATCCAACAAGAAATACTGTATCTGTAAGTAATATATACAATTATTTAAGAAATAATAATAATTAATAAATAATTAACTAAAATTCATTTATAATAAAGGTTTTGAATAAATTATCATTAACAATAGAACCTGGCCAAACTATTGCATTGGTTGGTTCGAGTGGAGGTGGTAAAAGTACAGTTGGAAGTTTGTTATTACGTTTTTATGATCCCACAGAAGGCCAAGTCAGTACAACTTAATGAATTTATTTTAAAACTTAAGTACATAATCATTTTATACTATAGGTTTTACTAGATGACATCGATTTAAAATCGTTAAATCTACATTGGCTTCGTACAAATATTGGAATTGTATCTCAAGAACCAGTTTTATTTGGTGTTTCCATTGCTGATAACATTCGTTATGGCCAATCAGATTGTACTAGACAAGATATTATAGCTGCTGCAATGACAGCGAATGCACATAGTTTTATCATTAAATTACCTAAGGTTAATAAGTGTTATTATCTTATATAATATTATCTTATTTCTGTACTAACTTTTAAAAATGTATAGGGATATGATACATTAGTAGGTGACAAGGGTTCACAACTTTCTGGTGGTCAAAAACAAAGAATTGCCATTGCAAGAGCTTTGGTCAAAGATCCAAAATTATTGTTGTTGGATGAAGCTACTTCAGCATTAGATGCACAAAGTGAAGGGATTGTACAAGAAGCTTTAGAGAAAGCACAAAAAGATAGAAGCACTATTATAATTGCTCATAGATTATCCACAATAAGAAATGTTGATGTTATTTATGTTTTACAAGTATTCTATATACATTTTTTATATTATTATATCCATACAGGCTATTTTATTATGAACATAATTATATAGAATGGAAGTGTCGTGGAATCTGGAACTCATGATATTTTGATGGAGAAAAATGGTATATATTCAAATTTAGTAAATGCACAAATGAAACAAGAATATGATCAAGAAAATAAAGAAGACTGTGATTTAGAATCTGATGACGAATTGGAAAATTTTGAATTAGATGGTAAAAATATAAATATAAAATCTACTACGCCGTCACCAGCAAGACAAAATAAAAAACGACAAATCAGTTTAAAAGTATAGTAATATATTTTAATCATGCCTCATACCTTCATTATTTTTAATATTTTTTTTTTTTTTTAATTTTTTGTTAGAGTCCAGAACTTGAACCTCATTATGAAGATGATAATGTTGAAACTGACGAAAATACTGAGTAAGTAATAAATAATGAATGTAGTATATAGTATAATGTAGTAATAATGTAATGGTAGTTTCCATTAATTTTATAATGTATGTATCAGGTGTGGCTTTGGTTCTTTGCCTGGGGGAAGGCAATATTTTTTGGTAGGTATATGCAGGGATGTATTTTAGGGCGGGAGAGGGGTACCACCACACATTTTTTTGTATTTAAGAAGATGTAGCATTTTTTTGTAACCATCCATTTTCATTCGTCAATCAAAACATTTTAATATTTTAAGATTTTGTATAGTGATCACAAGGCAATTTTTATTTTCATGATAATATTATCATAAGTTGACCGTGTAAAATCCATAGATAATTAATATTATCTTTCTTGAAAAATTGTACAAAACGTGTGTAGAGGTGGTAATAAAACTTTACCTGGGGCGTCAAAACTCTAAATACGTCTCTGGGTATATGTATTTATACTATAATAAAATTAGTCAGCATTATACAAATAAATATTACATGCACACATATACAATATATATATAAATTTTACATAATTCATCAATGAAAATATTGAACATATAAATATTAAGATGTCTTGAGGGGACATGGCCCCATTTTCCCACCCCTATAAAATACCACTAAATGTCTATTAAATAATTTACAACACCTATAATGATATATCATATTACTATTATAATTTCATATATAGATATAGGTTTATCAACTCAAGTTAAATTATTTTTTGTTAGAGTCCAAACTGAAACTGACAAAGAAACAGAAACAAAACCAAAAAATATATCAGTTATAGAAAAATGTATTGAACCCGAAAAGTTATTCTCAGATAGTTTTATCACTGAAGATACTGATGGCCGTAAAGTGAATGTTACTAGAAAAATATCTTCACGTAAAATGAAACGAATTACCTACTCAGATCTAGTAATTTTTATTGTTGAGGAAAATTAATTATTATAATTTATTATTTTTAAAATGGTTTTTTTATTTATAGGATAGTACAGATAGTGAGCTAGATAAATCATCTGGTTATCTTCCAAGCAGAGGAAGTATTTTAATAAGACAAATTAGTCAACCTGACGATTATTCTCAGTTAGTTTGTATTATTCACAGTTTTTAAGTTAATATAATTATTAACTATAGCATTTTATTGTGTTAGATGGGAGACGTCCGACCTAGATAACCTAATAGATTATAATCAACCTGCAGATTTTGCTATGTCTTCTAGAAAAGGTTATCAGTATATTAAGGGACAAAAAGTAAGACATATAACATTATAAAATATCACAGTCTTAAAACTTATAAGTTGAAAGTAATAAAATCTTATAACTATCTTGATAAAATAAATATTTACTATTATTTTAGAATGAATTTGATGAGATTGGAATGAAAGAATTACTTAAATTTAATAGCAAAGAATGGCCATGGTTAGTAATTGGTTTTACTGGTTGTGCTCTAACTGGTGCTATTATGCCAGTGTTTGCTGTTTTTTATGGCCAAGTGTTTGCTGTAAGTTCACCAAAATAAAACTAAAATAACATATGATTTTATCTTTTATGTTTAGACTTTCACTCTCAAAGGAGATGCATTATTACAAGAAGCATCTTTTTGGTCTAAAATGTTTGTTGTATTGGCTTTGCTATCAGGATTAGCATGGTGGATGCAAGTAAGTCAAGTTAACTAAGTTCCGAAAATTTCAATTTATTAATATATTTACTTTTAGACTATTGGACTAACTACTGCAAGTGAAAAACTTATTATGCGCATGAGAGTACAAGCATTTGAAAATATATTGCGACAACCAGTATATTGGTTTGATTTGAAAAGTTCATCGCCTGGTAATCTTATCACTAGATTAGCTAGAGATGCTCCACTAGTAAAATCTGTAAGTATAATTTTAAATAAAACCAATAAAATTATAAAAAAATCTTATTTTAGTATGATTTTTATTCTAGGCTGCTGGCTTAAGAGCTGGCCAAGTGATATCAGCCCTTGTAACATTGTCGGCTGCATTAGTAATTGCATTTGCTTTTGGTTGGAAATTAGCTATAGTTTTAGTTTTTGGCGTTCCAATCATTGCCGGAGCTGCTTATAAACAGTTGATGCTTGTACGAAAAAGTCAAAAACGAGATTCTGAATGTATGGATGAAGCTGGTCGGGTTAGTAAATCAACTGTTAAATACATAATATATTATAAATATATTAATAGATTCAATAATTCTTGTCAATTCTTGTCTGGTAGTATTTAATTAATATTCTTATGAAGGATTACTTTTTCAAATTTTAAATATAAATATTTTCTAGATTGCATCTGAAACTGTTTCAAGTATAAAAACAGTTCAAGGCTTAGCACAAGAACTTATGTTTGTGGCTTTGTATGAAAATAGTTTAGAAGAGCCATTTGTAACTGCTAAAAAACAAGCAGTTTCATATTCAGTTATGTATGCTGTTTCCCAGGCAGTTATATATGGTATGTATTCAGTTGCTTTTAGATATGGAGCATATTTAGTGGAAATTGGAGAGATGACAGCCACAGATATATATAGGTAAGCCAAATTATATTTTGTTATTCAATTACATTGTTAAAATTAATTTGTTTAGAGTATTCTTTGCTTTGGCCTTTTGTGCTGCATCGGTTGGTCAGTCATCAGCTTATCTTCAAGATTATGCCAGAGCTAAAAATGCAACAATTCTTATTTTTCAACTTATTTGGAAAAAATCAGAAATAGATCCTTTATCAATTTCTGGATCAAAACCTGTAAAGCTATATTTACATTATAATATAACATGCTATATTCATTAAAGAATGTAAAATTATAGGAAATAAAAGGAAAAGTGCATTTCAAAGATGTAAGGTTCAAATATCCATCTCGACCTAATGCACGTGTTCTACGAGGTCTCAGTTTTACAGTTGAGCCAGGAAAAACATTAGCAATAGTTGGCGAATCTGGATGTGGTAAAAGCACTGTTGTATCTTTGCTTGAACGTTTCTATGACCCATCTAAAGGAGTAATTGTAGGTTTTTGCAATATTGTATTTATTAATTTAATACAAATTAAATCAGTAAAAGTATCATAGAAAAATATTTAAAATTTAATTTATTTTTAGGAAGTAGACGATCATGATATACGTGCGATGAATTTATGTCATTTAAGGAAAAATATTGGAATCGTTACTCAAGAGCCAATACTGTTTAACTGTTCCATAAAAGATAACATATTATATGGCGTAGGTGATAGAGAAGTCACCATGGATGAAATTATTGATGTTGCTAAAAAAGCAAATATTCATAATTTTATAACATCAACTCTTGCTCAAGTAAACAATAATAATTAAGTCAAGGCTTTGCACCCGAATAATTTTTTCGGGTTTCAGGTTTCGGGTGTAGAATATATTCGGGTGTTCAAACATCGCAATACAACATTTAAACAAACGTTTGGGTGTTAATAACCGTTATTATTCGGGTTATTATTAGTTAATACGGGTGTTAAGTAGTCATGGAAAAATATTATTTTTCATTGGTGAAGGGCAGTGGGGAGGCTGAGCCCCCCTCCACTAATGAAATATTTATATTTTTTTACCTGCCTATGTAATAAAATATCAATTTGTTATACAACTGTGCAACAGTTTTTTAGACCAAACTCTCATTATGTTAATTTCAAGCAATGGTGAAACTACGATTTATTTTCGGGGAAGAGGGGGTTATTTTATATGTGTATGAAGCTTATAAATTATAATATCTATTAAAATTAAAAATACTAACACTATGTCCTACTCCTAGTTAGTGCGGGCATATAGTAAGCGACAAAAAACAAACTATTTTGTATTCTGCATTTGTGTTTGTGGAATAGGCGGAAATCGGGAGGAAGGTATTGAGGGGACTAAGCCCCCCAGAAATATAAAGTACAAGTCTTAGCCCCCTAGCTCTAAAAAATTTTAAGTGACTAAAAATACAATAATTATTATAATTGTAAAATGCATTTTTAATAACCGAATTAAAAAAAATATTCTGTGATAAAAATAAAATCCTATTCGTAAGATTTTACAAACTTCTTGTCATGACTTGGAACGATCGCAATTAATGTAATATTAATAATACGTAATAATACCCGTATAGGTTGTTTAATTTAATTAATTTAATTTAATTTAATTTCTGTTTAGAATACCTACTCCAAAAATGTTTAAGATAAGGCACCTAATTGTTTTTTGTTTAAATTGTTGATTAAAAATGTCAAATTATCAAAGTTCGTAAATTGACTTGTTGAAATAAATAATTGCGCACAGTGGTCTCTATAGGTGTAATAAGCAAATAATGCTCAGTCCCCCCCCCCCCACAAATTTCACCAAATTTTCGCTTTAGGTTTGTGGTGCGTGCACATGCTAAAAATGCACTAGCTAGAACATAGCGTAATACAAAAATAATAATAATTTGTACTTATGAATGTTACGCTGAAATTATTACACCAAAAAAATTGACAATTCACGCCATAAACATAAACGATGTACTAAACGCCATACACTGAACAAATACGAATAACCCGAACAACAATTTAGGTAATCATATGCTAGGTATCAATTATATTTCAGACTTACAGTATTGCAATAAATAACGTCTCTGTGATTCATAGAAGACCCTATTACCTATTAAATTATAATAATACGAAGTATCCGCTTGAGATAATTTTAAAAATAGTATCCCAGTTGCTTACACTTGAACATTCAACATACCATACCATTCATGCACACCTGTCAATATGATATATTGCTATTGTCTTTATTTAGATAAATTTAGATTAACAATTTCATATATTATTTGTGAAATTATTCCTGTGAATAATAACTAATTACAAAATTGAAATAACCACAAAAAATACATACAAAATGATATGTTACATAAAGATTGTAAAATAAAAAATTATTCGGGTTTCGGGTTAAAACCAATATTTTATTCGGGTTTTGGTTAATTCGGATATTTAAAAAAAAAAAAATCATTCGTGTTATATGGGTTTTGGGTATTTGATTTTTTAAGGGTTTTTAGGGGTGTTACGGGTTCGGGTTAATTTGGGCGCAAAGCCCTGAATTAAGTATTTTAAAACAACACGTTTCAACAGCATCAATAATAATTTTCAGAGGTATGATACGCTGGCTGGAGATCGCGGTAGTCAACTATCTGGTGGACAAAAACAACGAATAGCTATTGCACGTGCATTAATAAGAAATCCCAAAATCCTCTTATTAGATGAAGCTACATCAGCTTTAGACACTGAAAGTGAAACAGTAGGTTAAATTTCATTTGAATTAGGTTCATTAATTTAAATTATGTTAATTGTATAATAAAGGTTGTGCAAGAAGCATTGGATGCAGCTCGTAAAGGTCGTACATGCATTGTCATTGCCCATCGACTTTCTACAATACAGTCAGCTGATTCTATAGCTGTAGTTCATAATGGTAAAATTGTTGAACAAGGTAATCACGAAGAACTGAAGTCCTTAAAAGGATATTATTATGAATTAATCAAACGTCAAGAAGAATCATCTGAATAACCTTTGCCCCAAGCATAATTTATAAAAAATTAAACAAATAAATTAAGATGATCTGGTAATTATATAGTTGAATTATTTTGTTCAAGTTGATTTAATCGTGGTAAATGAAGAATTTATTTTACTCTGTTTTATAAATTGTAATTTTTAATGCATAAAAATATTTTTGAATTTAATATTAATACATTTTTTTTTTTGCTTTTTGATTTATAAATTATACTAAAGTATAATAATTGAATACATTTATTAAAATATTAAATTGTCTAATTAAAAATTCTATAAATGTAGGTACTTATATATTTACTTTCGCAGTGATTCACTATAAATTATTGTCATATTTTTTCTATCTACTAAATGTAAATATAATTTAATATAGCCATTATAACTCGATACAGCATAATGAATATATATTACATAGATAGTATAAATAAGGACTGAAATATAGTTTATATAACATTTTATCAGTAAAGATAATTTATTTAATAAATAAACTAATAATTTAAGTAATTTATTGAAAATATTTAATTATAAATAAAATCAATTATAAGTACATTATTTTACTAACTTGTGATTTTCAATGTATTTATATTTTTTATTTGTTCTAAAAATGTATTAAGAAAATATTAAATATCAAGTGTATTTTAAATTACTCAACTGTGTTCAATTTTATAATTTTCAATAAGTGTTTATTGTAATTATATTTTAACAAAATATATTACTGTTTTAAATTATTTTACCAAAGAAATAACCTTAAGTTTTATAAATTTGAAGTTTGATTTTAAAAATTGAGCTAATTTATTTTAATTTGAAACTTTTGGCATTAGCAATAGTATAAAAAAATTATTAATCTATTATAATTGATAATTAAGTTAATTTAGTGTTGGAAAATATCTATATGAAGCCAATTGTAAATTTACTATATTATTTAATAATTATTAAATTATCATTTGGTGGGTACAAACATTTAGAGAAAATATTACTGCTTTCTACCTCTGTTGATGTTATGAAACGACCTACGTCCTATAAAGCAGAAAAAGCGCCCTGTAAACTCATAATGTTAAAATAAAATAAAAATTTAAAAAGTTTTTTATAGTATCCGAACAATTCATAGAATTATATAATTCAAACATCTTCAAATCAGCAACAATCAAACATTTGATCTATGAACACAATAATCAATGAACTATAAATATATAGTTGTTTGATTATATTTATTGTGGCTAAATACTTCAATAAAAGTGAATAATACGAGTATACGTTTCATAATGATAAAAATGTTATGCATTTTGACATTTTGGCGTATTTTTTCTCTTATAAAAATTAGATTACTACATAATCCGAATTATTTTAACATTAATCAATAGCGGTTAATGTTAAATATTGTACATTGAAATGTATGTAAAATTGTTGTTAACATTCTGTATGCATTCTTGTAAAGCACTCGAATAAAAAGTATTTGAATAAAAGTATTCAAATACTTTTAAAGTAAGCAAATACACATTTTAAATAGTTTTGAAAAAATACTTAGACATAATAAATTAAATATTTTATAAGTATATCTGTATTTAAAATCAAATACTAATTTCAGGGGCGTCCACACGGTGCGGCATGTATTTCCTGATTTGTTTTAAAGCTATAATAATAATAATATATTATTCATAAATACTATAGAGTTGTGTCATTTTTGATGGGCAACGAAATACACGAGATCAGCAGGTGATCTATATTTTTGAATCTTAAAAAACATAAAATTAAAGATTTTTGAAAAATCATTATTGATCTTTGTATTTTTAAAAACAAAGAATCTTCAGTATCGACATTTTGATAGAATAAAAATTGTGTCTTCTGGAGATTACTACAAAAATCAGTTTTATCTCAATGAAAAAAGTTTGTTCTGTTACCTAATTACTTAAAAAATAATTTAAATACCTACTTAAAAAATAAGTACTGATGCCGCGTGGCTTTGCCGAAAATACGTCCACATACATGCGGCATAGGCGAGGGCACAAGCCACGTGGCTTTCCTTTGATGTAGACCGCCTACTAGGCCGATCAGAAATTATACCGCGCGGCATCAAAAAAACCACGGAAAATGTATTCATGTATTCACACTCATGCCACGCAACAAAAGCTGCTCCGTCTGAACGCGACTTTCAAATTCTTTTTATATAAATGTTATTTCAATTCTATCACATTAAAATAATAAATTAATTTACCAATTATACATTTATTTTATATTAATAAGATTTATCAACCATTTGTTTGTGCTGTATAAGTAAAATCAATATTTATATAAGGCATTATATACAGTTTATAAATTTAACGAAATTTGTTAATTTATATTTAATATAAAACGACTTTAAAAAAATTTAGATAACTTGGACTTTAAACCATCCATACATTTTAACAATTTTATCAATTTTAATATTTTTACTAATTATTGAATAATTACACTTGAATTTGTATTTAGCTTAAAAGGCTTAATCAGCGGCGGACGCAGGGAGGGGTTTGGGGGTTCAACCCACCCTCCACGAAATTAATAGATGATTAATTTCAAACGTAGTTATCCTACCTTATGTACCTTAAAAAAATGAATTGTTTAAAATACGATTAAAATATGCTAGAAAAAAAATGTTTTGTTAAGAAAAGTGAATTTGTAATAATTTGTAATTTTCCAAACGTTCTAAAAGGTACTTAAAACTCAAATTTTTGAAATTCCACGATGGCAATACTTCGTAAAAATAATTCGTGTTTGTAAGTCGTTTATTATCAGTAAGTAAAAATAAGTAAATATACGTAATCGATATAATATTATTTAAAATTTTACATTATGATTGACAGGTTTCCCTAAATTTTGTATTGTATGGTTATGTGATAACGATCGACAATCGTCAATTTATAGTTAATAGTCAATAATTCCAAATAACGGTAATCAGGTCCGTATTTAAAGGGAGCACGGGTAGGCACATGTCCGAGTGCGTCAAGTCTCAGGGGCAGCAAAATATTTTAGCAATATTAATTTTAAAAATGATGTATTTAATGAAAAAATAAATAAAACAATGAAAAAAAGAAAATAGTATGTTTTATAATGTTATAATTTGTTTAATTTGTTAATTAAAAAAAGTATTAAATGATTTTCATTTATAAGTTCTAGGTATTTTGATATTAAAGAATCTCGATTATGGACGAAATAATGTGTTATATTATTATTATTATTATTTTTTTTTTTTTGGAGGGCTAATAAAATAATATGTCCGGGGCGCCAAATTTTTAAATACGGGCCTGACGGTAATTATTCTTATTTTTTCAAAACCCCCCGAAATTTTTTTCTGCCTCCACCCCTTGGCTTAATCTATTATATCATTTACCTGAAAAATAAATGATTTAATATAAAAATTCTTCAATAGGCGTAGGATAAACGTTTGATGAGTATAGAAATATATCGTCAAAAATTAGAACATAAATATTTACATATTTTGACTTTTTTACTATATAAAAATCCATTCCCTAATAACGTAATAATGTTAAAGATTGTATTAAATTAAATGTATTATAATTGCTAGAAAAATTATTCAAAACCAAAATTTGAAAATTATTAATTATTATTTAATAATTATCAATAATAATCTATTTAGACTTTACAAAGTGAAACACTGATCCACCTCCGTCAACATCGTCGATTCAGTCCAATTTTGAAATGACTGCCCCATCGCCACCTCAAGAAAATCCAAAGAAATTTAGTACACCAAACAGAACCAATGCTACCAAAAAAAGACCTATTACGGACCACTATTTAGATGAAGCTCAAAAAAAAAATGAATGAAAGTTTTGATACTTTGAACTATGTGTTAAAGGTAAAGAAGGTAGATGAAGATGAGTGCGATGTATATGCAAAACTGTTAGCAAAAAAGTTAAGAAAATATCCGGGAAGAATGCGAGACCAAATCATGTACAAAATCGACGGCTTTGAATTGAAAAAGCTATCCATACTATTTCTGTAAAATTAAAAATAATTACGATCAACTTTTTTTCAATTCTGAACGAAATTGTTGTGGGTGAGTTGCTTAATTATATTTTTCTTTTCTTCTCCATAATTTTTTTCTATTTTAACAAGTTAAAAAATTAACAATATTAAAACAAGTATTTACAGTGTTCTATTATGATGAATTGATATCATCCACCATCTCCTCTGACCACGACGGCGTCTATTTTCAATGTTTTTTCTTTTTAAAATACTCCCATAATTATTTAAACTTAGCAGACAGAGAGCCGAGGCAGCAATTATTTCAGTATCCTTCATCTCTCAATATCGCTAGTAAATGAAAGTAAAAAGGTCGTTCTTATACGCACGATTAGTTTGTTGTTTTTTAGTTAATGATATAATGCTGATAATGCAAAGGCTGTAACCGATTAAGCAGAATATAAACACACAATCACATGTGTTGTCGGTTAACCTGCTGCTCGCACTGCTCGATTTACCGCTTTTGACGGGAACGACGGGCAGCGTTAATGCGAGGAGCAAGGTTAGCGCGATTGACGTGCTTACATACTCGTGCTGCTGAGCACGTGAAAGTGACTTTCATGCTCACTTCCCTGTTCACTGCCACAAAAGTGAGCTGAATGTAAACGAGACTTTAGAAATAATCGCAATAATTATCTCTCACAATTTTCGCATCAATACTTTTAGTTCGAATAGGAGTTCCCTTCAATGGAGTTAACAAATTTTCAGTTATTTCATCACCAACTCGAAGTTTGCATATTTCCAAATTTTCTTCTATAAGTACACTTTTCGAACAATAAAGATGTTTATTGGTTTTAGTTAAGAAATTATGTAAATATCAGCAGGCTAACGTGATTTTTGTCGCTTTTTCTGGTCCGAGATTTATAGGTTTTTGAAATACTCTAAATCGACTGGCTAGGATTCCGAAGGCGTTTTCTACCACACGGCGGGCTCGCGAAAGGCGGTAATTAAAAATATGACGCTTATTATTAGTTAAATCATATTGACTGGTTTCATCAAGTTAGTCTGCAATGAAAATGCTTCATTGCCGATATATACATTAGGGTATTTTTCAACAGTATTTGCTAAACACGACGGTGGTGGAATATTTAATGTTTGATTTTGAAATTTTTCCTAAAATTTGGTATAATACAGTATTCCTCCATCCGAAATTCTGCCATTTGCCCCAACGTCAACCATTATAAATTCATATTTTGCATTAACTATTGCCATTAATATTATACTAAAAGTACCTTTATAATTATAATACATAGAACCAGAATTTGGAGGTTTTTTAATGTTAATGTGTTTACCACCTATAGATCCAATACAGTTTTCAAAATTCCATTTATTTCCAAATTTATTTGCTATAGTTTTCTATTGTTCGATAGTTTGCGGTAGCTGAAATATATGATTGTAAATATAAATACAATTTCATATTTTAAAAACTTTTTTTAAAAACAATTGAAATGTAGAACATAAATAATTAATTGCACTATTTTATTTGACACATATTTGTTTAATTTTTGAATATTATTTTATTTAGAGAGCTGATAGTAATTTTAGTGAAGCAGTTGAGACACTCAATAATTCATCTTTCCTTCCACCTAAATCAAAAAAACCTAAATCTTCATCAAGTATAGTGCAGCAAAATGAATTACTATCCCTGATATGTAATTATTTATCTAAAGAAAATCATGTACAAGATAATGATTTAGACTTGGCGAAAGTGTGGGCCAGTAAACTGAAAACATTGAATTCACATCAAAGAATATTTGCAGAAAAAGCTGTAAATGATATTTTATTTGAAGCTCAACTTGGAACATTAAACAGAAATTCTGTTCAAATTAACTCACAAACTAAATTTGAAAATTACAGTTATCCATTGTCATCATCAACAAGTTTTAGTCGTTCATCAACACCACAAACATTGAATAGTTTGATATCGGAACAATTTATAACTACATCGGAAGAAAATAAACTATTAAAAACAGTTTACACACGTATTTTACATGTTTTAATGAAGACAACTATCAATAATAATAATATATCCATATATGCTAAAATATTATAAAACTTAAAATAATGATATTGTAAATATTATCAAAAGTGTTGTTTGTATAATTACAATTATTATTTATCATAAGTATCGTATAGATTATTTTATTTAGGTACCTGAATGCGATCCTTGAGAACAGTAACTATAGCTTCACAGGTTTCCATCACGATTTGACTTATGGTAATTTGAGCAATGACTGTAGAATATTTTAAGTCTTCAAACGTTCACCCAGTTGCAAGATACCTTAAAATTAGAGCAAGCCTTTCATTTAGAGAAATACTTTCTCTCATATTAGTATCGATTTTAATAATCAATGGTTTTACCATACTTAATAGTTTATTATAGATATTAATATTCATTTGAAAATAATTATTATAGTCATTTAGGTTTGAAAGCTGGACTTCTTTTAAAATGTTTAAATGATTATATTTTTTACGTTTAGCAATCCATTATTTTACCCATCTCTTTCTATTCGTAATTCGTTTATTGGAAATAGAAAACGCTAAAATAATTGCTATGCACGCTTTACGTTTTTCGTCCATTTAAATTTTTTAAATAAATAAAGACGAATTTACAAAAAAAAATAAAGGATTTTACAAACTTTGACAACCGACACTTTAATAACTGTTCACTAGTTAAATGACAAACAGAGTATTGATATTAATCCGTACTGACGGTTTGAGGACTATACTATCAATAACGTAAATACTCTCAGTAAAACTGCCCGTGTGAGAGCCGCTTTATAGATATGGTACACCAAAATGATTTTTTCATCAGTCATCAGTATTGTTTTTTCATACTGACAGTACATCAGTACTTACCTCACACGATCAATAATACTGTCAGTATCTGAAATACTGTCAGTATTACTGATCGTATGAGGCCCGCTGAACGTGAATATAACTAGAAATTTCTAAAATTCTCGAATTTTCTTGGATAATAAGCTCAAGGGGGGGGGGCGGTATTTACCCTATTACCCACCCCTTGGATCCACCACTGCTCGGAAAATTTTTACAGATCTAACCGGCGTATATCGAAAGCCGAACGGCGGACCCGGCAGATGCACGCGCGAAAGACAACATGAAAATTAATTTCCATCCGAGTTGATAATATTATCTACTGACACTAACGGTGTCAACGTGACGGACCAAAGAAATATGTCTCAGAAAAATGAGATAACTTGGATAAATGATACGCAACGGAGTTTTGTAACTGCTTCAGTGATAACTACTGTAGATCAGAACATTTGAAACATAATTAAAAATTGAATGTATGTAACTATTGACTACCGACAACAGTTACCAGCGTATTTAATTTCAATATTTCAGCAGCGTATGTATGAAGGTGAACAGATCGCCCATATATTTTTCGATGATTAAATAAATCCGCAGTCTCACCGTAATATTATACATACTTTTAATATAAATTCTAACGTTACATATTTATATGTAATATTTCGAAATTTAGTCAAAGGTTGTAAAACGGTAACTATTAATTTATTTGATATTATATTTGATATTCACCAGCTACAACAAAAAATGTCAATGATTATTATTATATTAAGATATTATTATTGAAATTGTTCGCTGCAACTGGTGAAAATCAAAAATCATAATTATTATTTTAAAACTTTTGGTTAAATTTCGAATACGAAAAAATATGTTAAATATTATTAGTCAAATTTCGAAAGTAAATATTTAAATCCAGAACTATTTATAGTTTAATTATTCTAAAACATTATTCCGTGACTAAAAATAAATTCAAACGTTTATAACTTATTCGTAATGATATTTTTATAATTTCTAAAGTTTTGATTGAAAATTATGCGAGGTGTTTTAATTTTCTGTATAAATTATACTCCTCAATTCTCCGACCATTTTTCAAAAATTGTTTTACTGTTAAACCATTTGTCTGGTATTATATATATATATGTTTATTTATATTAATATATATTTATTATATTTATTTTATTATTTATTATATTTTTATTTTTATTTAATTTATATTTTATATTCATAAACGCAATTAAAGTTTTGAGAAAACATTTTTAGATTTATATTTTAATAAGTTGTAAATCAATGATTGTTTACCGTTTTACAATCAATAAATGGTAAATTCGTTAGGGTCGCCGCGTCCACGTAGGACATAGTGTTGTAATAAAATAATATAACCCACTACCACTGGTATATTACATTCACCCTTAACAACGAAAAGTCACAACAAATATTTTTATCAATGTAAATAAGTGATTGAAGTAAAATAAATTAGCGTATTGTAATAGTGAGTTAATTTATAATACATGTATTGGACTTGCATTTAAAAAACTATGTCATACAGAGATTTATTTAGTAAGTAATTTCAGCATCCAGATTCTAATAAAAATTACAATAGGTCTAATAGTAACTATTATTATAGTTATAATTAATAATCACAATGCTTATCTAGAAATTATTAATATCTATAACACATTTTTTAGAGTTCACTGAATCCATGAGATCATTGGGGTTCCATCAACAAATATCTATGGATAGTTTCCATAGCCCAAATTTCGCTTTAGTGTCTGAAGTTTTACTTTGGTTAGCTTTACGTTTCGAACCAGATATTAATTTACCACATGAAATTGAAACTTCTGAACAAAGAGTATACTTTATTCGTTCAATAGTGGAATTTTTTGTAAGTAATTCCAAGCCAAACTTAATACCAACATTTTATAATATTTTTTTTTAATAGGTTCTTAAAACTAACATTAAATTAAATGTAAAAAAAATATATCAAGCTGATCGAAATGCAGTTGGCGAATTATTAAAAATAACAGATTTACTTAATGATGCATTAAACGCCAAAATAGCATATGAAAATGAAAGTGTTTCCAAATTAGATATTAACTTAACTTATAAAGTATTTTGTAATACATATGTAAGTATATAGAAGTTTATTACTCATCAGTCTTATTATTCTAGGCAAACGAACTAAAAACGACCAGAGAATTAGCATCAAAAATTACTCAAAAAGGTGCTACTTTATTTCGTTCTCTAGAAGAAGAATCAGAACTACGACCAATCAGAGATAATCGAGTAAATGGTGCTTTAGACATAAATGAAGTTGAACAAAGCCTTAAAACATTAATCGAGAAAACAAAAAGAGAAACAAGCCATATAAAAGATTTGATAAAAAATGTATCAGCGACCGAAGCAAATCTTGACGCAAAAATTGCAAAAAGAAGAGAAGATTTAGAAAGAAATTCAAAGAGACTTAATACATTAAAACAAGTTAGGTAAATACTTTGGAAATGTATGCAAATATTTTTATTACAGTGAATTAAGATTAAACATAATCTGAACTTTATTCAATGTAATTTTACCATGGTGTTTATTTGTTTCTGTCCGTGTATACCAATAATTTAAAGTAAAGTTAGGAAATTAATTCTATTGGGTACTTTGAGGAGATAATTTTATGAATTTATCAATAGTTTTCTGTATTGAAAAGAATTTATAAAAAAATCTTAAATTCAACTAAGATTTGGACCTTCACAGATTTTGATGATATTCACTATTTTTTTTTATGTACTCGATTTTGATCAGAGAGATTGTTTTGATCATCTTGATAGGAAATTATAGTTAGTTGGTATTTTGAAAAAAACTATTGAACAAATTTCCCAATAATTACGAAAAAATATAAAAAACAATAAAATTTAAGATGAATTTTCGTTTTCACTGAAATTCAAAAAATAATCAAAGAGAATTGAAGTTTTTACAAATGTTTGTTTGTTTTTTTTTATCACCATTCGCTATAGATAATATTATTTTTAAAAGATTTTTTTGAAACCGTTTAAACATATATGAAAATTAAGGTTTCTTAGTATATTTTCAAAAAGATCAAAAAAATAATTTTGGTTTGATAAAATTTTGGTCTTGAAAATATTATAAAGTTTCTAATACATTAAATGTTTAACTTACCATAGAAAAAAATTGGTTCTTGTAGTATATTAATCATTTTTAGAAATATTAACTGATCCACCTAACATCTTTTATTCAGTATCGTTATTTTGATAGCAATGGTATATTGTTTTTAAGTTCAAAAAACCAATACTATATCAATACCATTCACCCATTTCTGTAACAACCCTGTATATGGAATTTCACTTTTTGTAATTTTCTATTCCATAAGTATTGACAATAAAGGTTATAATATTTTATTCACAATTTAAAATCAATTATATTGATTAAACACAAATATTTTGTTTTCAGGCCAGCATTCTTAGAGGAATTTGAGGATCTTGAATCTGAACTCAGAAATTTATACCAAGAGTATATTACAAGGCAAAGATGCATTAGTTATTTAGAACATCAACAGGAACAGGTTGCTCAAGCAGAACTAATGCATATGCAAGAACAACAAGTAATTTATTTTTATTGGTAAGATACTAAAATATAACTGATATTTTTTTCCAAATAAGGAGATGACAAAGAAAATAATTGAGAATAATAAACAAGATGATGATTTAAAACTATTGGAAGGAGTTAATAACGAATCATTTAATAATCAATTTTTGGAAAATACGCCAGATATAAGTATTAAAGGAAGAGGTAAATTAGACAGTTATTCAGTATTATATTAAGTAGGGTTAGGAATATTATAGAATCATTATAAAATATATATATTTAAAATTAAATATTTTTTTTTTTTTTTACTTTTTAGTAAGTAGTGCAGCTACAAGTAGAAATCGAAGCATGTTTGACCATTTAACAGACAGTGAAACAGATTCTGATTTAATGTTGGATGATGAAGATTCAAATATAATGGCATCTGATGGAGAACTATCAACTTCAAAAGCTGAAAAACTAGGAAGCATTCATAGTGATAGTGATAATTGATAAAATACATTTTTATACACAAAATAATATATTTTATTATTTTAAAATTTAAAATATGAGTTAGATATATTTATATTTTTTTCACAATTTGTACAACATCTTCATCATTCAATTCATGATCTTTACCAACTTTTTGTGGCATATGTTTGACAGATGATCCCCAAACTAAAGCACTACACAAAAATATATTCATATGTGTTAAAATAATATAATAGTGAAATGAAAAATAACTTTTAATACTTACTATTTAAATTCTTTAGCAATGGTCCGATGAAGCTTATTACAAAAGTCTTCAATACTTTTCCTTTCATTATGCAAAACAATTGGTGAACCATAGTCTGGTAATTGTCCTTTAGGCTTAGTATAACTATTAAAATATTTGTTAAAAATTACTGATAATTTTTAAGATAAATATTTCTGTAGAAAGTTTACAATTCGTAACATTGATAATTTTATAATACTAAATTTGAAAATATTATTAAGTTGTAATCAAATAATTAGGATTATATTATTTATTTTTTTTTGTAATATTATTGATTGAAAGTTGTGCACTACTTACATTCGAACTAATTTCAAGTATTCCCACATTTTTTCTAATAAGTCATCAAAATTCCATTTATGATGAGCACTTATAGGTACTGTATGTGGTATTTTGTAAATTATATCCAATTCTTCTATACTTATTTGATCTAGAACAAACAAAAATAAAATTATACATTAGGTTACATTAATAATATTAAATCAAATAAAATAAATGATAAATCAAATTATTATTAATTCTTAGTTAAAAAATAAATTAACTTTAAATATATATAGGATAAAAATATATATAAACCCTGTATATACTATATATACTAACCAATTTTGTTCAATATGTAAATACAAGGTAAATAAATACGATTTCCTTCTACTACATCAATAAGATCATCAGAATTGGCATCATATCTAAGAGTGATATCAGCATTATGAATTCGATACTCTGATAATATGGTTTTAACAGTATCTAAATCTAATTCACTTTGTGGAACCTGAAAACAGAAGTACAATATATTTATGTAAAAAATATATAACAATATAAAAAAATAGTTATAAATTATAACCATAGTCTGTAGATTAATTCCACCCTTATCCTTACGGCGAAACACAATATTTGGTGGAGATTTGTTTAATCTTAATCCGAATCCTTCTAATTCATGTTCGATTAACTTTTTGTGTTTTAATGGTTTAAGAACATCCAAGACAATAAAAATTAACGAACATGTACGAGCAACAGCAATTACTTGACGTCCACGACCTTTACCATCCTTGGCGCCTTCAATAATACCGGGTAAATCCAAAAGCTATATTTAATGTAATATATTTAAAATTAATAATTATAAAATAATAATAATAATAATAAAATACATTATAAAAATAGATTTAAATTTTAAAGTAAAATAAATTAAAAAATTATTAAATTACTTGGATTTTTGCTCCTTTATACTTAATACATCCAGGAACGGTAGTTAAAGTTGTAAACTCATAAGCAGCAACTTCTGAATAAACACCAGCCAAATTACTTAATAGCGTCGATTTACCAACAGAAGGAAAACCTAAAAAAAAAAAAAAAACCAGTGATCAAACCTAAATATGTAGTAAAATAGTTGATCATCTTACCGACAAAACCAATTCTAGCATCTCCTGTTTTGGCCACATCAAAACCTTCTCCAGTACCACCACCACCACCTTTTGGCGTGATAAGTTCTCGTCGAAGTTTAGCAATACGAGCTTTTAGCAAACCCAAATGTCCAGCTGTTGCTTTGTTCTTCTGCGTTCTAGCCATCTACAGAAAAATATACTTAATTTTATAACAATTTATTTAATCAATTTAATCGCACTTACTTCGGCCTCGATGGCCGAAATTCTTTCAAGTATAGTAGACATATTTCAAAATTATTTCAACTTTAAAAGAAAAAAGTTCTCAAAATCCAGAGAAACGTCGTTTTAAATCAGGATTTGGACTTTTAGCATTTATTGACGGTAGTACCCAACTATGGAAACATAATATTTTTCCCGAGTTCGTACCATAACCTTAATACAACACACATATTACATGGCACAGTAACACAATTGCTGGTTAAAGTGGTTAAACAGTGAACTTGATGAAATTCAATATATTTTTTTTCAAATTCAACGATAATTTAAAATTAACGACAGCACGGACGGTATTGAATCGGTATTTAATTTGTTCGTTCTAATTCCATATTGTTCGACTTGCGTACGGAATAATTTTCAATTTCCGTATTCATCTTACCCGTTTGGTTATGGTTTATTATGTTAATAACAATGGAAATGAAAATGATATAAGCCAAAATAAAATACCTATTGATCTTACTTATCATCTATATGTACCTATCACAATAACAAACTGGTAAATAGTTAATTATAAAAAATCAGACTTACAAATTTATTCTAGTTGCGACAAACAGTCTACTACTTTGCTACCACCATCTTAAACGAGTAGATTTCGTCAATTTTACGCTGTTCGCACTCACGTTGCATTGATTTTTATTCAGTTTCTTTTATATCGTCTTACCTGTTCAGCAGTGCTATTTCGTGAATATTGTTTGAAAACTACAAAATGGTATTGGATTAAATAATTCGTTAAGTTAGTATAACATGAGAAATTATAAAACAGAACATTTTATTTGTTTACAGTCGCACACAATATTGTTGATTCAACCAGGTAACAAACCAGAAACAAGAACATATTCCGATTACGAATCTGTTAATGATTGCATGGAAGGTATTTAATATTTGTATGCTGTTATTATAATTTTTTCATGCATTTATGTTAATGTTATATTGTTTCAGGTGTTTGTAAAATTTATGAGGAACATCTGAAGAAATTAAATCCTAAGTCCGTGTCTATAACATATGACATAACTCAATTGTTTGAGTTCATTGACCATTTAGCTGATCTTTCATGTCTTGTGTATGTAGACAAACTTAAAAAGTATGACTTTATATGCTTTTATTTATAAAATTATAAATTCTGTTTAGATATCAAAAAAGTACAATGACATATGCTCCTTATAACAAAGATTGGATAAAAGAAAAAATATATGTCTTATTAAGATGTCAAGCAAATCAACGTCAATAAAGCTATGAATTGAACGAACATTTTTTTAATAATTATTATGAGGCTGTTTTTTTATTCATATATAATAATTTTGAGTAGTTATAAAATATGTTACATTATAGATATCTACTACAAATCAATTGTAAGTTGACTTCAAGTCATTGATGACATACATTTTAATTATAATTTAATGTCTTAAAGATATCTTTTATCATGAAAAGTTTCATTTCATTACACAGTTATAAATTTAAAAATGTAGTTAAATTATATTATTTGTGACCATTTGTAATTAACAACTTGATTTAATGTAATTATTATGGAGTTGTGAATTTTTTTGTGTACCTAAGTTTCTATTATACAGGAGTTCAATCAATTATACCAAATATTTCATATTATAATAAAACAGGAGAATTATACAAAATAAAAGTAGGTGTTATTAAAATTTATATTTTGTCTTTGCTACCTTCATATTTGATATAGTATTTTTACTTCTGCATCTTAAAACTTAAAATCATAATATTATCTTGAGTATATAATTTTCATAAAACAGTTGTATGTATTAAAATTCTGATCTGAGTATATATTATAAAAATACAAAATTCTTAAGTATTACTAAAAAAATACTGTATTTTTTCTTATTAAATTTTACTGTAGTATTTTAATCAAGGCAAAAATGTAACGAGTAATGTGTAATTGGTTTAGTTTGGAAAAATTAATATGGTCATGGTATGTTCCTACATTTATTTAAATATTCAAAATAAAGGTGAACCATGTGTTTTATGTCTAATTGCAAAATATATTTTTATTCTTTTTTAAATAAAAATTGTGTGATTTGTATAACAATGTCAATAATTATTTTACAATGCTGTATCATTATAAAAATAAAACGTAGGAAAACTTGCATAGAAATGTAATTTTTAAATATCTGATACAACAAATTAAATAAATTTTTTAGTAGAAGTCTTTAAACTCTGATAGTCTATGTAATTGCATGATCATTGTGTACAAAAATTGAATTGTAGATCTAATTACATAAAATATGATTTTTATAATTATATTGTATAAAGTGTATGTATATCTATTTGTACCAAATTACCCAATACTTAATTACTGACCTTATATATTTAAATGTTTTTTTTATTATTATTTTTGGTATATTTATCACATAATGTGATTGCTTACATAACAGATTAAATAATAGAATATTTATTTAGTTAAATATTTAAGTAAAAGATAATATAAGTTATAAAGTATACAATCAAATTGTATATGAATTTTTGTTCTCATTTGCATGACTAAAATATAATTATTTATTATGCTATTGAAAATTATTCAGGTAAAAGACTTAAGTTAACAACAGATTTTGTATGTGATACAATTTTACTTTCATCATTTACTAAAATAAAATATGAAACTATTATTTATTAATAAATATTGAAAAAATTATCATAATATTTATTTTAAATAATACATTTTTAGATATTGGACCCAATAAATCGATCCAAAAAAAATACAGTGTATTTGTTGATTGTAAATTGTCATACGAGTAATTAAAATTGTTCCATTGAGCTCTTCTGACTCAGCTGGATGTCTAATACCCTAACATTTTGAATGGAGAAATTTTTTCCATGAGTCATTGGTCAAGTGTTTTTTATATGTTTTATGTCAGGGGTGGATTCAAGGGGGCAAGTGTCACCTTCATTGGAAAAAAATTAAGTATATTTCTTCTTTAGCTTTTATAGGCCATTAAGGCCCATCACTGCTCCACATAGCCTCCTCTATTTCTCTCTATCATTTACTAATTCTTCCGGATTCGGTATCAACCCAAGTATTTTGAAATTCTGGTTTTACTTGTATAACCATCTTTTCTTCGGTCTGAAGTATATTTAAAAAAACTAAATAATAGATAAGAAAAATAAATGTTAACAGTTTTAGTACAATGTTGTTTTATTATTTTTGGGATGTCTAAACCCCCCTCATAAAGACTCCCTACGTAAGCTTATGTTCAACTATATTATGTAATTTCTTCTATAAAGTGCCCTAACCGTAAGTTGATACTGGATCCGCCCTTGCTCTATGTTGCATCCTGGTCCTAAATTCAGTTTTTTTAAGTATTCTCTTCACAAAGGAATAAGAATATTATTCTATTATATTATATTCCTATTACTCTATGATTCTCATTACAATATTCAATTAGGTATTAGTGTTGATAATTGATAGGTACAATTTAAATGATATTACTATTTATTATTATCAACTTGTAGATAATAATAATCTATTATTCTTTATAAGCTTACCTAAATTATTTGTATTTTATGTTATATGTACCTATGTGTTTCATCAACGTTATATGAACAATAAAAGTAAGTGATATAAGTCATTATAATTAATTTAAAATATAACTAAAATAAAGTATTCTTTTTTATATTAATAATAATAATTAAGAAATAACTAAAATAAATTACTTCTTTTCTTTTGATTTTTAAATTTACATAAATGTGCCTTCTCTACATTTTAATATACATTTTCAAATGTAATTTTAATCTTGTTTATTATTGTAAATAATATTTTTTCATTATCTATATCAAATATCCTACGAATGTTCGGGACAACATATTGTGGATTAAAGTTTATCCTGACCTAAGGCTGTTCGATTGTCATAAAATATAATCGATTATCCAAATATTAAATAATCGAAAAATTCGATTAATCGAAGATTTTCATCAAGAAGTGCTCGATTGTTCAATAGTCAAGGATTAATCGATTAAAAAAAAATATAGATAAAGGTTTAACGGTTTAAATGGTTTAAGTATAGCTCTATTGTATTTCCTGCCAGGTGCCCAGGTTTAAGGTTTTTGGTTAACTCATTTAAGAAAAATGCAAAAATTTATCCTTAGATTAACATTTAATCAGTGCTCGACTTGGCAAAATTAAAGAAAGGGACTCTATTTACTTTAAAGAAAAGAACGTCCCCAAAACTGGCTGAGTGTTATGATTATAGCGTAATAATAGTAGGGGGACGCTAAAATTTCTGAAAATTAGTTGGGGTACTCCGTCCCCCTTCAAGTTGAGCACTGCATTTAATATACTTTTGAAATACTAAGAACTAATAAGTGTAAAGAGTATTCTGTTTGATGATTAGAATGATGATGGATAACAATTTGTCACTGTGTGTGCTGTCCGAGGGCAGTGCAAACTGGTCACTTGTCCAGGCCCCAGGACTTCACGTATATTTAATAATTGATACCTATAGGCAGGGGCAGACCCACAGGAATTTAAATGTGGAGCTAAGAATATGACTAACTAAGGATCTGTAGTGACGTACATTTTAAGATCTAAAGTGGTGCCAAAAACTGAAATTGTAATCTTGTGTAGATAGGTTAACAATTTTGATAAAATAGCTTTAATTTTTAGTTATGACTTATGTTACTATTATAGGTGTGGTATTTAAGTAATAAAAATCACTCACAATTTAATTTAATTAAAATAGACACTATATTATATAAATATGTATGTACAAATATCGATGAGCATTACAATTGCGGAGGAATTGCCGAATATATCGCGAAGTGTAATGAACGGTGTATCGCGCATTGTACTCACGGACTGACTGAATGAGTGGCTGACCAGCCGGTATATATATATCGGCGTCGATTGTCTAGAACATTCTCGAAATTACCTTAACGAAATAATTATCGCATATTCTAGAACATGGGATTTCCCTTATCCACTGACAATATTGTAAACAACTTGGACGATTCGTGGTGCGTTGTTCACGTCACCACATAGAAAATGTATTTAAAATTTTAAAGACTAAAACTAGTAAAACTCACAGCGCTTGTATTAAAATTAAAATAAATCCTTACCTATCTATTTAGCAAATATAATAGTTAGTTATAGACTTATAGTTAGTAAGTTATTATATAATAACTGCTAATAAATTCCAGACTATCTTGATTAATATTTTTGCTTTAATTAATATAAATGTCCCCCCCCAAAAAAAAAAACGTTAAGATCCATGTCTATATTAATTTATATCCCTACCTACAAGCGTAACTATTGTCTCTTTGCACCAGATAACTAAATGTTAACTTAAGCAGTTTAGCCTTTAGGTAATAAAATTAATAATATTGTTTTTTTTATTTATTGCATTTCGATGTATCGATCAATCGATGTTTCGATTAATCGGTGATGAATACTTTTAAAATTAATAATAGATTAATCGATGCTGCAGTCGATTAATCAAAACAATCGAACAGCCCTATCCTGACCATATGATAAAGAAAATAATCTTCCTAAACTCTATGCGCATATTGTTCAATTTATCACTCAGTAAATTCTTTCTTTTTTCTAATGAATTTCTTCGTAATCGCACCAACAAATGTATACAATGAACAGGGACGTAAGTATAGATTATTAATGGAGCGTGTTTTGACTTTTAATTATTAGTAATAAACTGACATGAAAAAAAAAATAATACAAATATAGGTATATTAATAAAATACTTTTAATATTATTTTTAATAATTAAATATTATACAAGTAAATTTAATCGTTGCCTAAGCTGTATTAGTTTGTAAAGTATCAGCAATTACATATCTATAAATATTTAGAAGAACTAGTCCAGTAAGTCGCTTTTAACCAATGGTGTTTTGTAAATATGTCTTTGAGCTCTTTAATGTAGAAAAGAGATGTTTCTCACTTGCAGTAGACACAAAAAGAGTGAGCAAACATTTTCATCACCATCACACACTGTTTTCCCGAAAAAAAAAATGAAAAGAGAGTTTTTTAAATTTCTACAACTTATAATTTCTTAAATACACTTATTTGTGATTTGGGACTTTTAAAATTGTTAGATATTACAAAAGTTTAGTAAAACTAATGTTAATATCTGTTTTATTAAAAATGTAGGTTTCTAAAAAATAATAATAATAATTTAATATTGTTGTTGATATTCGAATTTCAATTTGGGAATCTCTTTTGTTCTTTGATTAGTATTACAGTTGCAGGATTTTTACCTTCTTACATTGGGTGCAGTGGCGGATTAATCCACTGGAACACCGGGGAAGTTCCCGGTGAGCCGGTAGTCGTATTATAACACTAGGCCGATGTACTTTGATTAAAAATTATTTTATAAAAATAATGTTTTAAAATGTAAGATTGTGATAAAAATCTAGTATATCTGTATAAATATGATGTAAGCGATTCTACGAGCATTTAATCCATGAATACAGGAGACTTTTATGGAAAATTATTATTATTGGATGGTGGGCCGGTTATACGGTAATTACCCGGCCGAAGTTTTTAGCCAATCCGCCGCTGATTTGATGTCATGGATTTTTTAATTTTTTTTTCATTCAAGGAGAATTGCGTTATCATCATGCGTAACCGAAACTACTAAGGTTTATAGATAATAGAATGGACTATGACTATGATGGTCTAAATAA